GGGCTGCGGGGACGGGTGTGTTTGGGCTGTAGGCGCCACTCGCGTTGATTTCCGCGAGTGCTTTTACCTCCACCCCAGGTGTGAATCGCCACTTCCACATGATCTGCATCCGCGATAAATTCAGCCAGAACATCGGCCGGCAGATATCCTCCAAAGTCATTTGGGACCACCTGAGCACCATGTACGATATGCAGGCGCTTGTGAGTATGAATGCGACACAGGAGCACTCTTAGCTCCCAAAGTTGAGGAGTTTTTATAGGCCCAAATTACTCGGCTTTGCGTGGTGCTAAGAGCTAGGTGTCGTTTTGATGAGTTAATGGGAGTTTCTCCTAGGACGGTACATTAGGAGGGAGGTGATGGAGCCAGCAGCGATTTTGTTCTGTTTTTTTTTTTTTTTTCCCCTATGCTCAGTTTTGACTTTTGTGTAGTTTTATTTACCTGCTGACCCTGCAAGCCTTTACATAGATTCATGAGAGGAAGGCTACAATGTGTATAAAAAGAACTTGCAAAATTGGGTTCCAATAGTACCTGGTTGTGATTGCATTTATCTTGGCCTTATTAACGGATTTGACATAGACAGCCAATGTCTGAAGCACTTTTTAAGAATTATATACCTACTAATTGCATATAGAGATTGGAACTGTGTTTCTGACTCTGAAATCAAAGTGTAATTTTATCAAGATCACTCATAGAAATCTTCCTTTTCTTCTAAAGCATGAATCTGAGATTCTCCCATTCCCTAACATAGAGAAAAATTTTGTGCTTCCTGATGAAATGATTCAAGAAGTGAGAGAAGGTAAGATGTGACAGGAGTCTTGTATTCCTGCTTGCTGTAATCTCTATTCAGAACAGGTATTTTAGCAGAACTCCGTGCACAATTTCTCATGCTGTTAAGTACAATATAGACTGGATGCTACAAATAGACTGACACCTTCTATTTGTGCTGTTTAGAGCATTAACATGGAAGATCTGTACATGTTAACTGATACCTGGATGCAGAATGAGAAGCAGAATATTGCAGTACAAAATGATTAGCAGTTTATTTTGGGCTTTTTTTTCACTTTTTTGAGATGGTTCTGTTTAGTTTTGTCTGACCATAATTTTTGCTGACGTGGAGAAGGCAGTTAAGTGGCAATTCAGCTAATGCTTAAAAAACTATGCTGCAGGAATATACTAAATATCTGCAGTTAAAATAACTAGAGAAACTTGCTGCCTGGCCATGGGCTTTCCTAACTACTACTTGTGCTTGTGCATTTTTATTGTATAGTTGGATTGTTTCTACATTTTTCTATCATAACACTGAGGAAGACTTCTAAATTTAATTCTGAGTGTTGCACTGAATGCTTGCGAACATTGTGCCCATATGTTGAGGTGACTAAGCTGGAAAATATACATGATTCTTTAAAACTACCCAACAGTTGCTTAATAATCTTTTCTATAGGAAAAGTTATGATTGAAGAAGAAGTGAAAGAGGAAATAAAAGAGGAGATGGAGGCTCACGCAGGCCCAGAAGAAGGTAAATTTGTAACTTTACATAGTAAAGTGAGATTAAAAAGAAGTGATTAAGAGGCATGTTCACGTTTTGGGTACTCCGTTTCAAAGTCTATGAAGTGGACTTTGCTGACTTTGAATTTCTAAAGTCGATCATATGTTCTGTAAATGTTCCTATAAAGTATTCTGATGTTAAGTGCTGTTTAATTCCGCTTACGGAATTTTACTTTTAGCCTATTAAAATTCAAACTTGGCTCTAAAACAACAACAAAAAAGCAAGAAATGCCCTTTTACAGAACATTTTTTCCATAAAACTTAACACTTTAAAGATCTTAAAGATAGTATGAGAATTGATTGGTTTGAGAAATTTTAAATCATAGAGAGAAAAGTAATGTGATTTCTTCTTTGCCTGTGTATACGACTGATGCGGAATCACCACTCTGGTTCTATTTCAGTTTTTACACCTTCTGGAAATTTAGGAAAAACAAGTGAAAAACCCAGCAGCAAAGAGAAAGAGAAGACTTCGTCAGACCCTGGCTCCAAGGAAGGATCTGATAAGAGGAAGCGCAACAGAGTCACTGAAAAGGTCCTAAATGCCAACAGCAACCCCTCCAGCCCGAGCGCTGCAAAGCGGCGCAGGACGTAGAGCTGTGAAAGAGAAAAGCATAAAACTGTGGAACACGAAGGGGAGACATTGAAAAATGAATAGCAAGGAAGACGTTACTTGAACTTCCTAAGAGAGGAGAAGGTGTTACCTTCTCCTCTCTTAGGAAGTTCAAGTATCTGAGCCAGGGACTTGAAGAATCTGCACATTGGCTGTATCCATGCAAGAGGCTGCCCGTCTCTCCCAGTTTGTTAGTTCGTCAGCAGTGAGTGATAACTACCAGCTCAGGGCGTAGAGGGAGGATGCTGTCAGCTTTAGAGGTTCAGGAGGTGGTTGTGTTTCAGACCACTAACATATTGTGTCAGCACAGCTCATGACATGGGTGCTCAGTGAAAGGAGGCTCAGGTCGTAAAAATCTTTAGGTTATTTCTGTAAATTTTGGATCTTTTTCTTGCCTTTGTTGTGTTGCCTTCTTTCAATATTTCAGACCCCCTGTGGGTAATGTTTGGCTGTTTTACTTATTGCAGACGTGGCATTTGTATCTAATGTCTGGCTTTATTCAGTAAAACTAAGTCTTTTAAATCCAGACAACTAATGGGTTGAAGTTTTCTTTCATATTGTTATATTGGTTAGAAGGAGGAGGAAATCTCTGCTACCTGGATCCTTAGTGGTGTCGCATTTTTTTTCTGCATTCTTTATAAATGTGTATGGTTTAAGTGAAAATGACAGAGCCTCTAGTTGGAAGAATTAATCAGTGTTCTATATAAAATATCCAGTGATGTCACATGATATTGAAAGGGATCATCTGAGTTGTGCACAAACCTAGAGACATTGCTTCATCCACCTGTACTATAGTAGTGTATATAACAGTGGGGTTTGTACTTGGTTATTTAAATTTTTTAAAGCAATTTTATTAAATGTTATTGCAAAAGTATTGCAAAATTGATCCTGATCTGCAACCTAAATATTCTGAAGTAGTTTTAGTAAAAAAATTTACTCACGTATTGTAATGCTTCTCTTTTATATGCTACAGTATTAATACCAAAACTGGTAGACGTTACTGTTGCCGAAAGGTGGTTTGCACTTAACAAACACGGGTTAAATGGTGAATGAAACAGACTGAAATTTTACTCAATTTGTTTCACCATATGAACTATCCATTAATATGGTGGAGCAGTATTAACTATCATTAATAAATAAAAAGAATCCTTAGTCTACCAGTATTGCATTTGAGGTTAGAAGCGAGAGACCTAAAAGCTTTCTTTCTCTGTAAGTACATAGCCAAATTCCTGTCTGTTTTATTCACATTTCTTGTTTTTTACCAAGAATAAATGACACGTTTGTTTCACTAAATGGTAGTTGTTGCATAACTTAATTAAAAATTGGCCCACAGCTTATTTTTTAATGGTATTTAGTTATCTTATGCTTTTTGTGAAGCTGCCCAGAATTACCTATCTACTGTGTAGGAGCCTAAATAATTTTACTTACCTATTTTTTTAATGACTGTATCAGAATCTTAGGAACTAGTACCCTATAACTTAAACAATATTTTTGATTTAAAAAATTCTGGCTTGCTAAAATCCGAAGCACCCTATTTTCTCTCTTCTGATTAGCATAGCAGGTATGAAGTGTTGAGTTCAGAGCATGGCCTTTTTTTATCCTTTGATAGTTAATCTTTTTACCATCTCATTAACTTTCACTAGCCAATTCTAGAAAGTTAAAGCACTGCCAGGATGTTACTGGGTGGCTACTACAGCTGCTTCCAAGGGCGTTTTTACAGCTGGCTGCAAGCTCCCTGTGCCCAAGGTCTGCGGTAGCTGGACAGGAACAAATTTCCAAAACAGAAGTTATAAAATTCCATTAATTTATTGCTGTGCTCCAGCAGAAAAGCTCAGCAAATGGTCCAGTGACCCACTTTCCATCTGGAGAGCTCCACAGAGCTCGTCTGGGGCAGAGATGCTACAGGTGACTTCAAAATTTTCCAGCTGGGTAGAAATCAAGCTATTTTATAACCTGGTATGAAGAAGTTTCTGATTATAATTTTTGAGATTTTAAAAAATATCCTCAAATTACTACAATGGTTGGTACTGTCAAGCTACTTGAAGTTACCATATACTTTGCTTATAGCTCTGTTCCTGAGTGAGCTCTTAAAGGTGAGTCCTGTTAACTTTTGTGATTTCCTTAAGCATTAAAATGCTGATTACTTCATAATGATCTGCATAGGTCTTAACCACAAATTTAAAAATTAACCATAACTTTAAAAATAATTTTTAATATTTTTAATTTTTGTATTCGTAATATTTGTTAATTCATCGCTTATTTCTCGTTTTTATTTGTTAATATTAATTCTGCTCCCGGACGGGGCCATAGCCGAGGGTCTTAAGCGGAGCCCCCGCCTCAGCCCCCCCCGGGGGGCGGGGCACAGGGGCGGGGC